AGTATCATACTTGCTTTTTATTATAAATACATTTACAGAAATTGTTCTTACCTGTGTAACTTTTATATGATCATGGGGTGTAGGTTCGCATAGGCCAGTTAAATCAGGGTTATAACTCCTTCCATCAGGATAAAGATAGCTAAATTTTGAAGCATAAACATCATTGACATAAGTAAAAATTTAAAATTGCATTTAAGCTTATATAATCATTTGGATGTTTACTTTTCATTTAACTTACACTTATTTTCTACCCGTTCGTATATTACAAGTGGTTTTTAAAGCTTTTGGAATCTAGTAATCATTTTCTTATGAGAAATACAAAATGAGTGTGGGTTCAGGATCTAAATATAATTTGAATTCAATGCTTTTAATATATATGTATTCTTTAGGTAAGTAAAACTTTCATTTCAGTAGTCACTCGTGTTCTATTATTTCCCAACACTTTGAATATTATATCGATGTGCAAAGATTTTGTCTTTCCCCTGAAAAATGGTTAATGCTGACTGCATTATTTTATACCACCTTCATCATCATAGGCAGACAAAACAAGATTAAAATCACAATCTTCTTTCAAAATAACTTGAACATCTTAGTGATAAGCCTATTCTACAGTTTCTCAATCTCATTCTTCTGCTTCATCTCCAATCAGACCCACAGAGAGTTTAAAGAAATAGAAAAATATATAGTCTTGTGTTCCATTTACTTCAATTCAAGCTAGAAACAGAGTGGTACATAAATATATGTTCCATTGTAAAAAAGATTTAGGGAACCAGTAGAGAGGTCTGAGGGGCCGGCCCCAAACCCAACTACATGGACAGATGCCCCTCCCCCCAGAAGAAATTTCTTTAGAGGACAGCACTGAAGCTGCCGCTCAGGGAGAGGGACATGTCTGATCAGAGCACACAGGAGCTAATGAAGGGAGAGGAAGGGAGAGTGGAGCACATCCTGGCCCAAGAGGATATGAGTGCTAAGAGCAGACAATACACAGGAAGGACCATATGGCCGGCCCCACTATGAGACACAACATCCCTCACTGACCCATAGCCCTACAGTGGACAAGACTGGAGACACAGTGTGGGAACTGCACCTGACCTGACCCCACCACACTGTGGCAAAACACTAGGGATGTGCAACACAACAGCAAGGGGAGCAGAACAAAAAAGTCCCGAGGGAGTACCAAACACAGACTTTGGGCCCAGGGCATGGCACCCCATCAGACTGGACCAGAAAACACTCCTAAAGGTCAACAAACAGACCTTGAACTATTTACAGGCTTTTCTTATGTCATTCATTTTTTGTTGTGGTGGTTGGTTTTTTTTGTTA